AGTGTTTTTTTTTTGTTTATATGTAAAAAAAACGTTATTCCATTGAAATATGTTGCGTGATGTACAGAAATTAGATGATTAGATGATTTAGTCGTAGTAAAAATTACTTTCCTAATATATTCGGCTGAGTAGTATTTAGGTAATGATTAGTTAACTCCCTAATGTTTATAAATTCTTCATTTTCTAACAGATATATCAGAATGTCTTTATCATTGTCATCTACAATCAGGGTTATAACAAAAATCTATATTGGAGACAGAAGTGGAGACAGAATCCGTCAAGAGTGAGAGTGGATGATATGGTGATAAACTGGGAGGATAGCGTTAAATATCTCGGCATCACGTTGGACAAACGATTCACATGGCTTAAACATGTTCAACTGAAAAGAATTAGCTGCGCCAAAATTCTTCATTACCTCCAACCGCTATTTAGAAATGAAAACCTCAATGCTAAGAACAGGAAACTGATATACAACCAAATAATTTGTCCGTCACTTCTATATGGTTGTGTAGCGTTTAGCAAAGCTTCAAACACTACTATACACCAGTTAGAAATAGCACAAAGCCAGGCTCTGAGAAGACTTTTCAAAATTCCTTGGTACATTAGGACGAATGACATCCTCAGGGACCTCAAGATTGATCCCATCAAAAAATACATAAAGGATAGAGCCCAGAAATTATTTGCGAAATCTGACAGACTTACTAACACCGCGTTATCAAATCTCAGAATGGTTACAGGCTCCTCGGGGAGATATGCAGATCTGAGGTCAATTATTGCTTAGTCTAATGAAGTGAACAATAATAAACACTGGATAAACAATAATCCAGTCAAGGTGCAAAGAGGGGTTTTGTAGAAACCTCGCAGTTAATAGAGAGTAAAAGTGCTCAGGTGCACTGACTCAACTCAACTAGCCTCAACATAGAAAGTAATTTCAGACTAAATCACAATTACTTTTATTTGTATTTAGTGTTTATAAAAAATTTAACGTAACAGTAAGTCACACTGCATTAAAAGACCCAATTTAATACACTACGTGAAATCTCTATGCCACCATAGTACATTTTTCACATGAATTTGCACAATACACCTCTGTTTTATCGGACCATTTGTAAAAAAGCATACGATTCTGTTAATTACGTACAAAATGCTCACCTAAACTACCGTCTTCAATTCAAAACATTGAAAATTTTTTAATATTCTAGTTGTAATGAAAACTATGAAAAGCCATTTTTCAATTTTATTAACTAAAATAAATTCTAAAATGATTTCTTAAAAATATATATATATCATATATATCATATATATATATCATTGTGTCATATTACCATATCAATACCAATTAGTATTATTTATTATAATCTATGGAAGTAGCATCCTCACATGTAATTTTTTTTACGGGTATGAGTTTTTTGTTGAATTATGTTTATCTTACCATGGAATTTGATTTTTGAGTCTATTTTTAAATTTACGTATCTAATTGTGTTGTCTTCCAGACAACTTTTTTAGCAGCACAAACATATTTCCGAGCTTAAATTAACATTTATCTGAATCTATACGAACATAAAACAGACAAAATAAACTTATTGTGCGTTAAGAATATAATATATATAAACAGTTGTTTTTAATATTATTGGTAATAATAAAATCTTGTCTATGTTATTTGAATATTTCGGTAAATTGGATACAAAGAACTAATGGAACGTTCAACTAAAACTATATATTAAATCAGAATTTCATTTAATAAATAATATTTCCAACACATCCATAAACTTCCTTTAAAGCTATTTTATAATTTTATAACAAATCATACTTTTTAAACCATTTATATGCTTTCTTTAAGATTTATATTACTTCTTATTACTTAACAGAAACTATTCATGGACTATATAATTTAAATTTAAAAGAATCTATTCTTATAAGTGATAAATTGGTAAACATCGTTAACTTATTTAAAATTTTTCCTCCAGTTTATTTTCAATACTTAAACCATGTCATTTTGTGGTAAATACAACATACCAATATCTTTAATGGACATGTAACAGCACTAAATACTTTCAAGATTATATCTGAGGATTCGCACATAGCTCGACCATAACTCGACAGAAACGTTGAAATTTTCAGGACTGTACACACAAACACAATCTTTTACTTAAATCCATATGAAAATAGTCCAGTGCAACTAAATCACTTAATCCTGGTAATCAAAACGTAAAATTACATATCACGAAAATTTTTCTCGCAACAGAATGAACGTCCAGTTGAGACCACATATGTTTCACATCCATATGTTCAATTTCAGGTGAGTTTATGTTCATTTACTGGTATTTTGTAGCAATTTTAATTCATAAATTAAATTTGAATTTGACCCCTGAACTTATAATATAACTACAGTCAAATGTAATTGGTAATAATAATATATTAAGTTGTAATATCTTATATCAAATGTATTATACTACATACTATACTATTTACATAATACTATCATCTATACTTTTCTTCGACAACAATCATTTTCTTTCGAGTAAAAATGGTAATCTGGCAAAAAAAGAATTTCATACATAATTTCATTTGAAGGATTACTCCATAAACTTAAATCATTATTGCCTATACAATACTGTAAGCTGCTATCATCGTATCTAAACGACAGGTACTTCAGTGTTAAATATGAAGATGCACATTCAGCACTAAAGAAGATTAGCGCAGGCGTCCCGCAGGGGAGCATTCTTGGGCCCATTCTATATCTCCTGTATACACACGACTTACCCTCTGCAAACCAACTAGTTACAGCAACATTTGCAGACGATACTGCGGTTCTAGCAATCGAAAACAATATAGAAGACGCGACGGCTAATCTGCAACACACAGTCAATCAAATTGCTTCATGGGCAAAAAAATGGAGAATCAAGCTCAATACGGAAAAATCAGTACATATAGTCTTCTCATTGAGAAATTATAACCATTTTCCAATTCATATCGATGCCACAAAAATTCCACACGCCAACGAAGCCAAATATCTGGGCATTACGCTTGACGCCAAGCTGCGCTGGAAAGCGCATGTTAAGAAAAAACGAGAAGAGCTTGACCTAAAACTAAAGAAATTTTACCACCTCATAGGCAGGCGCTCTAAACTGGCAATCCACAACAAACTAATGGTCTACAATCAAATACTAAAGCCGGCTTGGAGTTATGGCATACAGTTCTGGGGTTGTGCCAGCAAGAAATACATTGCAACTATCCAGCGCTTTCAAAATAAAGTACTACGATACATCGTAAATGCTTCATATTACATTAGAAACAGTGATCTCCACCGTGACCTTGACATACCAACAGTCGACGTCGTGGCAAAAAGGTGTGCCATTGCTCACAAACAGCGATTGAAAACACATGTCAACGTTACAGCATCCAGTCTTCTCCAGGTGGTTGCAATATTTAGACGGCTAAAAAGGAAAACAGTGGCAGACTTAATGGGCAGCGAGTAGCAAAATAGCTTCATTTTTTTTTTTACATTAAATATTCAAATAAAATTGCTTATTAGTACCTTTTTTTTGTTATTTGTACTAGGTGCAATATTAAAACGATTTTTGTCTTTAATTGAAGAATCGTTAATAATAAAAAATAAAAAAAAAAAAAAAAGAAAAAAAAATACATAATTTCATTTGATAAAGAGGTTTTTCGAACAGTAGTGAACTACAACAACAAAAATTCATTTTATATTATATTATTTCATTTGTAAATAAAATTGTGATCAAAATGGCACGATCGAAAGGAAAAGTTTAACAATATTTAACTAAAAACAACAGTCAACTAATATAAAAATATATAAAAAATAAATCGATATTGAAATCCAACTAAAAAAATAAAAGGAAAATAATATATAAAAGAAATATTCAAAAACTGCAGTGTGGTATGTAGTCTTTTTTTATAACTTAAAAATTATATTTTGGTTATTCTGGAGCACATTATGTGGAAAATGAATAATGTGAGATCTGCTTTTGTAGAGTTTAACTACAAGAAATCACGTTCAAGTTTAGTCCTGGTGTGTTTGTTTTTTGCCGACCATTGATTTGACAGAAATGTCTAATTTTGTTAAGTAAACGATATGGAGAAGTGTGTCCAAACATGAAATGTATGTCCCACAGGGAGCAAAATTTTATATTTAGGGCAACAATATAAAAATTAATTATGGTCGCCTCGACTTAAACGCAAATTTTCAGATTTGGATTATTCACACGACAAAAGTGAACTTAATTTTGTTTTTAATTTTGCTCAAATGCCTCACTTCGTTAAGACTACGTTCGCAAAGCAAATCTTAATTCCATTTTGAATTTCATTTGTTCGGCAACTGTCGAACGTCATGCAAAATTTCGTTTCGTTTTAATTTTAATTTGATTTTGGATTTTGACTGTCGGATTTTGTTATCGAATCGGAATGCAAACGAAGCCATTAGTCATTCAAACAGAAAAGTTTAAAGATGTGGCATAAGGGACATATAGGAATTTTTGCTAGACGCAAGTCGTGTGTTTATGACTTTCTATTTTTTGATCAAAAAGCCCAATGGATATCACAAAGAATATAAGATCTCTTTTAAATATTATTCTATAATCACTTATAATAAAGCACAAAAAAATTATTTTTATTTTTACATTCAAGAAAAGATTTTATAAAAATTGGTTTTAAATATTAGATTAACGTATTCTAGGCGCTACTCTGCTGTGCCGCCATATTTGTTAAGAACTATGCACTAGGGTGGTTCAAAAAATAGAATTTTTTTTTCGAAACGCTATAGTGCTCAAAAGTTGCCTCTAGTATAGAGTAGAAAATCCATTCCGAGGATTTGCTTTTGGCAATAATATTTGATAAGAGGGACAACATTCGACAACTGGATACGAAAAAAGCCTGATTAGAGAATTTGTATTGTGAAAGTTAAATTTTAAAACTGAAGATTATACACAAATTATTGATTGGAAGTTGTGCAAATTGACACCTCCACCTTTGTTATAAGAAGTAACTAATAAGAAATTAAAGCTATTTGTAAACAAAGGTGTGAAACACTTCTAGATTTCAAGAATTATCCATGTCATACCCAAGCAGTCGAGACTGAAGCTTCCAATACGGTTTGCAGACAAAGTGCGAGGGATGGTTCAATCAGAGCAAAACCTTAACAAGATAGAATATGCCTGATTTTTCGCATAAGTCAGATTATAAGTTTATTAAATTAGAATATCAGTAAGGTCTTAACCTAATTCGTGTGGGCAGCTGCGTGGTTAGATATGAAATGTAAAGAAATTAATAACACACCCTACTTGGATGGTTGGTTGGGTAGGGAAATGGTGGACAATTTAAAATTTTTTCAGAAAATATGCGATTGATATATATTACAAAATGAATGATGTTTAATAGTACTTATATTTGTGGTAGTTTAAACAATATATTACGGTAATAGACCATTGTGCATTTATGTTGAGTTACAATTTGTAACTGTCGTCATTTTTATACATGAAGAAAGGTGCGAAAATTACGCGTTTCATCAATTTGGAGATGATATTGGATGACAGGTTATTATTATTATATCAATGATATCAATGTTTGTTATTTTATTTTAATATTTTGGACTTTAAACTAAATAAAAAGAGTTAAACTGTATTAATTGTATGTATATTAATAATTGTATTTTTTTTTTTCTGAAAAATGATCGATTTAATCAGTTTTGCCAACTTTTGGAGGCGATGCGCAGTTTTCTACTCTATACTAGAGGCAACTTATGCGCATTTAAGCGTTTCGAAAAAAAAATTTATTTTTCGAACCACCCTACTATGCACTGTTGTCAATAAATAATTTAATATCAGGTTGTTAAATCGAAAGTATTGGTATTTAATTCTAAATGTTGTCATATGTTGAAAATTTTTAGGCACTGAATATAAAAGGTTTAAACAAACACAGTCGTTAACAGAATTAAGCCTGCAGCTTGTGTGCGCTCAAACAATGTTGCAACTGCAGTACAACAAAAAACACGAAATGGAAAATTTAAAGCAAAAAACCTATTACATACCTGAATCAAAACATAAACACAACTTTTTGTTCAGTCACTCCAATAACAGGGTGAGGAGACATGCACACATACGTTAATGCGAATCCTACAAAATGTCTGCATTCAAATATAAATCTTAGCAAATTTAATGATGAAATGTGCGTTTGTGTCTCTATTTTTGTATGTGTGCGTTGCATTTCCTTCCGGTTTTACTCTTATTAGAAATTTTATATTCCTATCAACTATTCAGCATTCGGTATTTTCATGTTGTACTATAATTTTTTTTTATTGAAAGTAGATAAAAAAGAAACTTTTAATTCAATTAACTCACTTTTCTAAATTTTTTATTTTTTTTTTTCATTTTGATTGTGCATACATTTTTTTACCAGTAGAAAAAATATTTAAAAAAAAATCAAAAGCAAAATTAAATTTCTTGTTGAAAATTCAATTAGCTAGCAATGAAAAAACACCAAAAACAACCAAAGGCAAACAAAATAGCAGCAGCAGCAGCAGGCAACATGCAACAAGGAATATGCCCCGAAAGCTTAATGTTGTTATTGTAGCTGCGTTTCGTAGCAGAATACAGCCAACCAAACCCAACGTCAACAAGAATTCAAAAAACAACAACCAGCAAAATTCAAACAAAGCAAACTGAAATGAAATAAAGTACGAGTACAATTGTATGAAACCAAATAGGAAAAAGACAACAACATCAAGAGAACATCAGCCACTACAAAAAGGAATACAATTGAAATTATTAAAAAATTGTTGCTTTCTTGTTGCCATTTTGTGCGTTTTCACTTTATAAGGTGCACAGCACACGACGAGGAATAATGTCCGTTCAATGTTCGGTCGTGTTAGTGTGAGTTGTCAAGTGTTCAGTTTGAGCGTTAGCTTGTATGTGTACGTGTTGGTAGAAGTGCAAACTATTGGTGGAGATTATCTCTCTTGTGGTTTGTAAATTGTTTTTAAAGTAGCTTCAAGTGAAGACGCACATAAGCCGCTGCCTAGTATGCAACCAGTAGGCAAAAAACGTTGAAAATAAGCAAAAATGTAGCAGTATTGCCACAATAACATCCAGACTGTTAAATTCCCATGTGACCTTGCAACATTTATATTCAACTGGTTGTACCTCAATCTTTATTGCGTTGGCATAAGTCAGTGGTGAATTTTCCGCTCTGGTTTGTGAACGCCCTTCACATTAATGCGAAATTTATAGTTTGTCAAGAAAGTATTTGTAAAACTAAAATATTTTCTATTGGTATTTTTTTTATATATTTTATAAAATTCCAATAGAAAAATTTAATAAACTTTATAAAATTTTTTTTTGTTTTAGTTTTATTTAATGATATTTCTAATCAGGAAAAATGAGATTTTATTACGAGTTTTGACAATCAATTGATATTTTAAGATATGTAATAGTATATGCAGTGACGACGCGTGCCCTATTTGGAAGGGTGTGCGGCTCTTCTTTAATGTTTTTTTTACATGTACCACTTAAATTAAAATATATGAGATGTTTTATTAATAATAACCATATTATATTAGGCAACAATATATTCGCAATATTATATTAACAATTCATTAACAAAATAACATATTAAATAAATTAAATTAATGATTTATATATAAATTTAATATTATATCAATATGGAAGAAACAAAACTTTTCACATAATTCTCGTAACATCAAACCAACTTTTTTCAAACAAAAGAGTTTTTACTTAGAACCATACATGTTTGTGCAGTGATCAAACAAAATCGAACCCACTTGCAATGTGCGGACAAGTACTCCGCACCGTGAGCACAGAAATTCGTGGGTGCTGCTGTTAAAAGGGGAGAGACGAAATGTGATAGAAATGTATGGTGAGATGAGCTGCAAACTTCAGCCGCTCATGCAACCACTTTGGCAAATCATCATGTTGGATTCGTATGCATGCAGTTGATATTCGAGTAGAACAGAAAATTACTCTCATACAATTCTCACTATATAAATCTCTATTTCTGATATTACGAACGGGAGCACACGCACATTATTTTGTTCATATGCAACGTATGAATGTGCTGCCAACTTCTTTGCACACAAAGGGGAGAGGTGAAATATAATAGAAATGTTCTGTGATTTGAGCTGTAAATATATGAGCACAACTAACAAATATAACAGCTAACAGAAGCAAATTGATTGAGTTTTCATAGACAATTTAATTGTTTTTGCTAAAACTTTAAAAATATATATATGGAAATGTAATAAATAATAATAATTGTTGATGTGAAGATACTTAATAAATTTATATACCTATGTTATTTGACATTTTGCAAATTATGTTAGGGTGTTCACCGCACACCTCCGCACCTTAGAGCAATCGTCACTGGTATGCACCTTATAGTGCAGTTAGAACACTCAAATATTGAGTAAAGTATATATACATACATATTATAACGCATAACTGATCTGATTCATATACAATTTTTATTAAGGAGCTATCTTAACTTTACAGTTTGGCAGTTTCTATTGATTGTGGTATTTATAATATATACTAATATTTAATATTATAGAAGTAATGAAAAATATATTCTTACTATCTAACATCTTCTTCTATATGAAAGGAAACAAATATCTATAAAATTTGTAATTCACCGAGGATAAGCTTGCTTTTTAAATATCAAGAAAGAAATAAAGAAGTTTATTTTCATCAATTCAACAACTTAATTCCTAAAACAATGGAATAGTAGTATGCTGACATTAAACAGTCTTCTATGAATTAAAACACGAAAACGGATAAAGTTGAAATCCAGATTCAATCTTGTCATTCCAATAAAATCTGTTTAATTTCAAATGACTACATTAGAGTTGAGTTGAATTTTTAAAAGTTAATTATCTGAATTGTATTAACATAAAAACTACGTCAATATCTCTATATCTAACAAAATTTTGAAGGAATCCAACAAAATTTGAAGTAGGAATTACTTTTATCTTTAGGTCTGAACCAAGTTTGCCGTTCTAAATTAATTGGCGTTGCGCATATCTCTCAAATAGGAGCAGATACAGATATAATACTATTACATATATAGGTTGGTGCATGTTTTGGATTTTGATTTATAATTTTTTTATTTAAATTATGTACTATATTTGATTAATTTTTTGACCATAACCAATTTTAGAATCACCGTGCTAAAATTGTACCTATAAACAATGATATCAACAATGATATTAGATATGTGCAGAATTGGATACAGGAAAAGAGAGTGATTTCCAACAAAATGTGCAATAACAGTGCAGTTTAGCGTGGGTATCTGTCATCTAGGCTTAAGACCACGGTGCTCTACAAACACATGTATGAATATAATGCGATCATGAACACCCCATTAAAAATTCTAATGAATTTTCGCCGGTACCAAAGAATTGATGTATTTTTGACAAAACTTCTTCTTTGTTAAGAAGCGAGGTGTACCAATTCCTCTGCTGATCTTTATGATGATGATGATAAATGATGATAAATGAATACCAATCATTTTTCTTGTGAAAGTTTGGGTATTAACGACAACCACTACGACACTGCCAATCTCACTTGGCCTGGACATCTGAAACTGAGGGCACCTAACCTCCGTAGTACCGGATTTACATCACCGATCGAGTGTTGCAAGTACCCTGCCACTGACTATCACGTACACTCTTGAACAGTGTCGGCATAGTACCAGGATTTTAGTCGACTTTAACGACAGGCATGCCCTACCACGGCAATATTCTAACGTCTTATCCGCAGGGGAGAGCAAAATGTATAGTAAGAATCTTCTGCATCTTATGAAGAGGTGAAGGTTCTATAAAAGTTGGCGTTAGAATTTATCTTAGTTATAAATAAATAGTTAGCGCGTTATACATTTTTGCCTATCATGTGTCGTTGACTTTGAACTGTTCCCGCTTTTACCAAAGGTTGTAGTTGAGCCCATTTATGCTCAAATCATAAACTTAAAGATTATTGGCAAAGAGGGTTATTCAATGGATATTCAATTTTTTTTCCAAAATAGAGATGGGTCCAATGTATATAGAATTCGATGAAGTACTTTATAGACACTTTGGATAACATTGAAATAACTTTTAATTATATTAACAGTGACGTTACAATAAATCTAATGAGAAAGTTTTAAAAAATAATTAATAATAACAATTATTCTTTACTTTTATCATTAGAATGTGCTGGGTAACTTTTTTTAACGAACCTGTTAGAAGTCGAAGATATTAATTAAAAAAATTTGTGGTCTTTACTTACCTGTACAACGTCACCATGTTGCCCACCTGCTGCTGTAAATGTTAGCACACAAACATACGGAACACGATCCTGCTTTGGACGATGTAATTCTAATGAATATGTCAAACCGATATCTCCATAGTAGGTTCGATTGCAACCTGTAAAAAGGAAGAGGGTAAAAAATTGAAAGTAGAAAATATATAAAATAACTGCTAAAAATGATAAAAATGATAAAAAAGAACGTAGAGAAAGTCGTTTAAGTGAGGATACAAAAATAATATTAAAAACTTGAAAATTGGATTTTGTGACAAATTACTTTATTTCTCTATTGCGAAGTGTTGGAAGCGTACAATGAGAAAAAATATCTTAACGTAAAGGAGAATAATAGAGCAAATTCAATTTTCCCTAAGCACAGCTATTTGCACCAAAGACGACACTTATTAAGTAAAAAGTTGACAAAAACAAAAGGAGCAGCAGTCGAAGAAGCTGGAGTCTGAGTAGAATCAGCAGGACGAACAGCGTGATCCTGCAGCTGTTGATTTTGACTCCCAGTGCGATGTTGACAGCGCTGAAAGTAAAATGGTGAAGTGATGCTGAAGCTAAAGCTACTGCTGTCATAATAAAAACTTTGTTAGCTACTCGTCCTGCATCTATTTTTATCAGTTCTTTTATATTTATTGCACTTAACCGTATTTTTGTATCTAACGCTGCTTAGTTGCTTTTGTGTAAGATAGTTTTTGTTTTCGGTTGCTTGTAGTTTTCTCAGTTTTATTTGGCTCTTGTATTTTGGTTTTGTCATAAGTTACAAAACGACTTTCTATTGTTGTTGTCTTTTCTTTACCACTTTTGGTCTTTTATTGTCTGTCTTTTGTCTTAATGAAATTTAATATGTACTCTTTTAACAATATGGCGTCCATTCCGATGTTGTGTTTGTGGTAACTTTTCGTGGTTTCTTACTGCTGCGATTACATTTCCTTGGTAAGAGGGCTATCCTGCAGGAGCAGGAGCAAGAGCAGGAGCAGCAGCAGTATCAGCCACAGCGTACGTGTTGTAAAACTCATAAAACTTTAACATTGGAAATGTCTAAAATTAAAAGCTTTTATTGTCCTTTATTGCAAATTGTTGCTCCAGAGTATTTTGTAGCCCTAATTGAAATTCCATTTGATATTATCACGAACAGAGAGAAAATGTATAGCATTACGCAGCGAGTTGAGTTTGGAAATTAAATTTATTAAAAACTAAAAAAGAAAAATATTTATATTTTTAATGTTATTCAAGAATTATCTTTTATTTCAGTTGAATCCACAAGTTACCAACATAGTAATTGATTTCTTGAAAGGTGCTTGAGTAAGCCTTCACATACATATATGTTAATGCTATTCGCTGAGCTGATTAGTTCATATACTTTCATAGTGGAATATCTTAATCTGGGCATTTTCACTGGGATTATATTAGTATCTCTTTATTTCCATTATTTGCAACTTTGGTTAGAAGGAATTCTCTCTATTTTAGCCATGTGTTTCATTATTTCAATGGTCGTACTTCCATAGACTAAAAGGTCTCTACTATAATTATATTAAATTAAATTGAATTAAATTAAATTAAATTAAATTAAATTTAAAAAATAAATTAAAATAAATAAAAATAAATAAAAATAAATTTATATAAATTAAATTAAATAAAATTAAATTAAATTGAATTAAATAAAATAAAATAAAATAAAATAAAATAAAATAAAATAAATTAAATTAAATTAAATTAAATTAAATTAAATCAAATTAAATTAAATTAAAATAAATTTATATAACTTAAATTAATAAAAATTGAGCATAAACTCAACTATTATTCGCAATTCAAAGAAGAAAGATGATGTAACTTCGTAAAACATTTCGGGAAACAATCAATTTTTTGAGGAAAAAGTTCGATGTAATTCTCTTGTTTATATTTATGTATATATTAATCACCTTTTATACTGGGTGTTTTCTCTATACTTACTCCATTTTCTTCACCTGAATTCTTGCTCAAAAAAGCTAAAGTAAACAGTATAGCAAAGTATGTATCTAGTATAGGCTACCAAAGAAAAGACAAAGTAAAATAATATAAACGTAAAAAACGCTTAACAGTTTAAGTTGTATAAAACCCGTCTCTATGTACTTCTCTATAATTTCTTATAGTTGGAACTTTCAGAACGTATACAGTACACACCCTGTATAAAATTTACTGGAATTGCGTTTACCGCTTAAAGTCTCTATTTCTAATTGTCTTCTCAGTTTTCATTACAGATTATAGATATATAATTGGAATAATATTTTATTGTGGATGCACCATAAATAAAGACTAACGCCAGTGACAAGTTATACCGCAAAATAAGAATGCATTCCTTAATCCTGATGATATAGATTTGGGAATTAATTAATGCAATTATAAAAATTTCAAAAATAATTTGTAATATATGTAGATGACTTATTTTACTAGACCAATTTTATTGCCTACTTATCTACTTAAAATACTACACCATATGCCTTTATTCACTGATAATCCATTTTCAATTATTTAAAGTAATTTACATCGTATTAAATATATTCGTACGTGGTTGGTTGATTTAATGGCTCAACAGATTTATTACTTAAATACGATTAAATGAGCTCATATATGTAATGCCATATTTGCAAAACCATTGCGAGATTGTAATTTGTTAATGCATTAAGTTCAAAAATCCATATCCATTTTCTTAATGAATTCCAGGAGGTACACAAGAAGATTATATTTCTATTTAATTGAGTTTTCAGTTACAAGTGCAGAGAAAACATGTAGAGGAAATATAATTTTAATTAGTAAAAGTTGGTTTTATAAAATGTACATTGTTTGAATATTTACTAATTAATAAAATAAATAAAGAATCACATCACAGTGTAAAAATTATTTGCAGGATATATACAAATTATTTTATTTACGAAAAATTTGAAATAGGACTATCTATATGAGTTTCAAATTAAAAGATTGTGAAATATAGAATGCATAAAAGATTATATATTTGAAATACAATAAAAAATAGTTATTAGTTAGTCAAACATTCATCTTCAAACAATTAACTATAAAAGTACTCAAAGAATGCACCCAATCACAACAAATGCTGTGAATTATAGAATGTCACTCTGTTTTATAATAGAGGTAATGGTTTTACCACATTTAGTAAGATCTATCGTTTAATAGCACTAGTCTTTACATTTATTGAAGAACTCTTCTGTCTTATAAATACATCAAAAGTTAGTTTATTTAATATGATTTAATGGTGCACTCCAGTTATATAGCATATAGACTGCAAGATTCGATTGATAGATGTTAGATCCATGCAGACAAAAAGGTGAAATGATGATGTGGTACCTAAACAAATTAATAACGCGGCTAAAGATTCATCGCATCTCATCGAAAAAAAATGGTTAAGTGATTAAAGTGTCGCGGTTATCACCGTATCACATCACCTCCCATAGCCTGTACGCATACGTTATGGAAGCATTGATTCATCAAGACCTGGAATTCTAAGAAAAAAGAATATTATAAAATTCTTTTCTATGCTTGTCTTTAGCGCGAACTATGGTTAAATGGATCTAACTCCATTGAGATGTAGGTGACACACTATATAAAGGTAAGCTTTAAAATTTTTATTCATTAATGAAGAAAAGCTTGAATGCATCAACATTCCGGTATGTTGTAGAATCTTTTTCAGAGCAGCGAATGGATTTACATTTGCTGACTGTAGAGAGTTAGAATCGAAGTTATGGATTGGTATGTAGTTTACACGATGATATAGAATCTTATTAAAATATCCATGTTTTTTGTGATTCCTTCCGAACAAATATATATTCATGAAAATGGATTAAATTAAGCTGGAGAATGCGGCAGTAAAACCAACGGAGAGCGTCACGCTATTTTTATGGTTGTTCAAACCATCACAAACGCTAGTGTTTAACTTTTTGTAAGACATCGGAAATTTCATATTTTCATTAACCCAAATAGAAAAATTATAATTGATCAGAAAAGACGATATTGGAAGATTCTACGCATTCCTACAAGCGGAAAATTGTTTTCCACAGCGATAGCGATGCTAGTCACTCCTTTACGAATTACTTTTGCTGTAAAAGTAGTCTTCTTCTGACCAGATCTATGATTACTTATTATTGATTACTGCCAGTTTTACTATAATGTAGTACGGTCCGTCATACAAATCGTCTGGATAAAAAATAAAACCTTTTTTTATATTAATGTTTTTGAGGATTCTTAAATATAGCGATATTGTATTATGACTACAATTATGAAGGTATACAGGAATAAAGATTTTTATATCTATTACAAATGCGCTTTCTAAACATTTGCCGGATGCAGCTACTTATAGCTTCGTGGTTAAATAAAAATGGTGGCAATAAGTTAGAGGGATTTTACAATATTGGATATTTGACACGACTATGAAAATCCGGTGATTTTTTTATCGCCGACTCTTATCGAAAAGAGTTATTGAGTAGTTTGAAATATTATTGCAAAGTATAAAATAAAATCAAATAATTTGGTTAAAACTAAATACTGTCCGTATATTTTTGAGGTCTACTGCAGTAAACTTTAATATTAAATAGGAAGCATTTTTGGAAAATTTTTTGTAATTAAACCAAGCGTTAAATGTTTAAAATGTTTTTTATATTCTTTAGCTAAATTTTTGCAAATTCTAATTTTAGAATTTTTCAAATTGTGTTATTTAATTTGAATACAGCTATAGTATTCGCAAAAAAACGATATATTTTTATATATTGAATTCACGTTGCAGTTTGTAATTTTAAACTGCTATAAATTATTTTTTATTTGTAAAAAAAGATGTATATTTTCATGTAAATTTGTTAAAATCGATTGTCGATGTGTGATATATCAGTTCACTTAAGGGCAAGACTACAACAAAAGCATTTAACAATAAGCGAACGAACAATGCGCAAAAAGTTTCGCTGCTGTCAAACTTTAATTAAATAAATTTGCTTGTAGCGGTGCTCACGTGTAGGGCAATGCTGTTATGATTTTCGAAAAGGGAAATATTTTCGCATTTGTCCACATGTGCGAAGGATGTTGTCGCACCGGCGTTCGAAATGTCCATTCTTTTAACGTCAATGAGGTTAATTTTAAATGAAATTTTTAGTATAAAATTCAATTTAATTAATTTCCGGACAAAAACTCCAGAATTCACAATGATAAAGTTGAAAAAGCAATTACGCAGCTTACAGTCATGTGTACTGCACTGCTCATTACGTTATGGGGCGTTAACTGAGTGTTAAAACTGCTTGCGGTGCATAAAGTTTTGTTTTTGTGGAAATAATTGAAACTTTAATATTAGCTTTAAAAGAATTTAAGTGATAAAAGGAAGATTATTAATTTTTTGTGTTGTTGAACAATATGTGAAGTGCGACAATAAAGAAATTATACAATTTTAATAAGCAACATACAATAAAAATTACACATAAAAATATCAATTAAAAAGACCGCGAAAAAATTTGTATTGAAAAAAAAAACATTTGTTTAAATTCACTTACGTGTACAAAAGCGCGGCTCATCACTGCCATCGCCGCAATCATTCACATTGTTGCAATATTTGCTCAGCGGCACACAGCGTCCGTTTGTGCAACTGAACTCTGACAGTGAGCATTGTGCTGCATTTGTTTGAAGTAGTGGTTTGGCCGTAGGTGAGGAAGAAGAAGATGTTGATGAGGATGTGCCAGTTGCGGCAGCTGCTTCTATAGTAGTCGTGGTGAAACAGAAAAAGCACAACGCAAGCAATGGAAATAGTGCCAATACAGTAGCACTCGTTGACGCGGTGGTATTACTATTTACCTTTAGTTTTGGTGGTGAGTTTGACGATGACGAAGTGTCAAACCTGAAGCCAAATGCTTTTGCCTTTTTATGCATGTGTCGCCATTTATATTGGTAATTTTTTGTTTTCTTACTTTTTATTTGTGTGTCAGTGTGTGTTGTTGGAGTTTTTATTGCTAAAGTTTGTGTGGTGGTGACTGCTGCTACTGTTTTTGTTGTAATTGGTGTTGTGCTTGTTGTTGTTAGAGTGCAGATTTTCACTGGAGATTTATATTGTTGCTGCTGTAATAAAGCTTTTGTTTGCTGTTGAAGCTGTTGCAGCTGTAGTTGCAGTTGAGTCTTTTGTTGTATTTGTTTTTGTTGCGCTGGTGGTGAATTTTGATTATTTATCAGTCGTTGAAAGTCGGTTTTGGTTTTAGTGCTGTTTTGGTTGTTGTTTTCAAGAGTTTTATTAGTATTGCTGGTTGTTATATTAAACGAAATCGTATCGTTTATTGTTCGTTGTTTTTGTGGCAAGCGTTTTTTGCTTTTGAATTTTTGCCGCCATTTTATAGTCATTTTTATATCTGAAATTAAAAATGTATAACATTGTTTTAAAATTCTTTTTAAATCTTAACTGCAAATATTAAAAATACAAAAACTGTTTGTAGCAAGAAGTTAATGCTAATATTAATTTATTGAAAAAAATCAACAAATTTCTTTAAAAAGCGGAAATTAGTTTATAGTTTAAGTTAAGAGCTTAACCAATACAAAATTTTTTTTTACCGTAATATATTTGAATTTTATAGGTGAATAGATCATATATATAATTTCCGATTATTAGTAAAACAACTAAATTACCTTCTTGCAAAAAAAAAACTACACTGCGTATGAGTGATTTGTTTTTTTATATTCGTATTGGTATTATATATTTATTTTAGGTAAATTCTTAAAATTTTACTTGCAAAACTAAAAACAACTTTTTCCTATTTGGGCTATTTTAAATAAATTTACTATATAAAGAAAAAAGTACTTCGATAAGGAAGATAAAATGTGTAATTGGATCATTCTTTTACAGGTGAAATCTTATCACCCAGAATTGGCTGATACTGTTCTTATGAGCTCTTTTTTTTAATAAAAATAGGAAAAAATTTTAAAATATTTTTGCCTGAGAGATACGGATATATGGGGTTTTGAGGATTTGCATTTTACATTACTTTTTAAATAGCCACATCCCAGGCACTAGAAATGTATTGATGGAAATGATAAAATTTAACAATTTACTGTATTGCAAAGATAATAAATTGAATTTTTTGTAAATAATATATATAATTAAAATTTTTTATTTTTAGTTAGTTAAATTACTTTTTAAAATGTACATCAAAAATTTTTCATTTCTGATTAAGATTTATCATAAAATTTTATTAATAAACTGAGATTTTTTATAATAATATTATTCAAAAAATATTTTTAATAAATTTTTTAATATGCACTTTACACAAAACATAAATACAATTAATTTTACTAAAGCAAGTTTTGAAATTTATACCATAAAAAATATTTAGTTTTTATATTTAACTCAGATTAAGAATAAAATTCTGCTCGTGGCCTTTCGATCCTTATAGGATTGGTTGTCAGGAGGTTACTCCCTGGGTGAGGGTCTAGAAATTTTTACCGTGGGTTCGAAAACTGGGAGTGGCGTAGGAAGTGGAGTTTTCTCAGAAGGGCTGAATACATCCTCTTCTAAATCACGATAGTGTTTTTCAGGCAGAATGCATTTCTTATCTGTGTTCCCAGTCATAGGGATATTTTCAGCAATTGCAATGCAGATGAGCTAGCCAGATGGGATGCTTCAGGAAACCACTTTTAAAACCTAAACAATCTGAGTGTATCGTTGATATTGAGTTCTTCCTGTGCTGAACTTTTTAAAAAAAGATGGAAAGACTCTACGATTTGCAGACATCTGTATGCATTTTGGCCACATACAAGTAAAAGAAAATCGAAAACTCTCATAGTGATGAGCCGTAGATATAACAGTTTTGTATTACATTTACTAACAGGCCATTGTATACTAAGTAACCATGTTGGGAGATTGAATCTCCCTCGCGACTATATTTGCCGCAGTTGTGGTGAGGATGATGAAAGTGCCTCCATGCGCAGCGGCAGCTTAATGTCTTAGGGGCTTTCTTTTTTGAAGATCTTGGTAAACTTCGGACCTCCCTTTAAACAGCATCATAAACTTTGTCAAAGGTTCTAGCATAATGGGACTATGGGCCTAAGTGGATAGCCGGTATAACCTAGGTTAACCTAACCGAAAATAAAAAAAAAATATGTATATATGTACATATATATTTATAATATGTTCTTAAGAAAGTTATAAAATAGGAATTTTTTTTGACATTATATATTAACTATACGAAAAGGAAATAATTTCAACTATATACAAAAAAAATTAACTATTCTAAAAATAACAAAATGAAAAATTATTTCAATGGCTTAAAAGCGTAAATAATATACATTTTATGTAACATCATATATAAAGTATTGTCAATGTTAATATAGCAAAGCAATAAAATTTGTTTAAAATCACATTAAATAAGTTTTAAATTTAAATGTTCTCCAGCAAATTTAAAAAAATCTATTAAGCATTTTTCGAATTAATTATTTTCATATTGCAAATATTTTAAATAATGTATTATAAAATCATAAAGATAAAAATTAAATGTATTTTATTAAAATTGCTTTAATATTTTTAAATATATTAAATGAATTTTCATTTATTGCTTTATGTAGAGAGGTCATAAATTAATATGTTGTCGAATGATATCACAAAATAACATAAATTTAAAAATCATACACACATACTAGTGCATTTCACAAATAAATGTAAATGTAAAGCGGAGTTTTTCATAAAAACCAATGCGGTGGCTGCAAAGTCCATTTATCCGGGTGCAGTTTTTGGACTCCAATAATGCGAGTACACAAAATCACTGTAAATAATTTTCAAATGCATTTTTTATTGTTTCACAAAATATTCTATGTGAATTGTTAACGTTAATTCTTTAATATTGAATAAACTTGTGGTTTTTTGCAGAACAGATTAATTTATATATTTGGTTTTGGTTTAAACATTATACTCATTTTATTCTTTCAAATATTTATAAATATATTAGATAAACAATTTATAATAATCAGAATTATTTTTTTGTTAAAATTCATTGTTAAAAATTTTATTAAAATATTTATTGTTAAATGCATTTTTAAAGTTTGATAAATATTTTTGCGCATGTAAACTAAATTAATAAATAATTGTTCAGATTTAAAAAGTAACAATAGTGAAAAAAGTATTTCAGGAAAATTGTAAAAATTCACAAATACTCGTATTACATAGAAAAATATACACGTCAAAGCTGAAACTGTTTACTTTTGTCGCCAAAATTCGAATTGTGCGGAAAAGTATTTGATATGCGTAAAAAAAAATTTTTTAAAAAATTGAAAAATAGAACAAGACTATTCGAACAAATACACACTAGTCCAACTTTTTGTTATTCCAGACTAAAGTTTGATTAATGATCATATTGTGCAACCAAGTGCAGCACAGTTTTTCAATAACAGTAATGGCAGAACAACTATTGTATAAAAATAGTAGTAGTTGCAGTTGTTGTAGTAGTAGTAGTAGTAGTTTTTGTTATTGTGCTTATGTAGTAGTGCTGTAGCATCAAAACCGGCGTCAACAAAAACTCTATAGTATATACAATATGGAAAAACAATAGCAACACTATGAACAACATTAATAACAGTAGTGCTATCTGCAAATAACAGTAGAATAGTATGTAGTCAATAGCGTACTCGTAATCGTACTCGTATTCGTCGCAGTTGTCGCTGTTGATTTCCGTAGCCGTCGTTTTGTCGTGCAGTAAACACAACTTGCAGCAGCGCGTATGTACGATTCAATGATTTATTGTATCACCGCATGACCCTTTAAAAATGTGCAAAACAAGGTACATTTTGACTATTTTAACATTTTACTTATATTTTATTTTTTTTTGCTTTTGTTTAGTTTAAATTGTTGTTGCAGACTTATTGTCTGTTGTTATATGCATTAGTAATTTAATGTGTCGTGAAAGCAATAAACTGCTAGTAACATTTAGAAATGTTAAAAAAAAAGAAATCAAATTTTCATTGTCACTAATTTAATGAAACCAATTGGCGCATTTAACAGTTGTTTTGTTATCAACAATTAAAATTTACATTGCTTACTCTTACTGCCGCTTGGCAACTGTAATTTAACATTTTTATTTGTTTCTTGTATTTTCCAGCAGAGAGTAATTGTCATTTGTTATGATAATTTAATATCTAAAAGGTGTATTCATAAAATGTGTAGTGTGGAAAGCCAAGGCATGTACAATACAATAATTAAAAATTTGCAATTCTAATAAATTTATAAAATTATGAACACTTTAGAAAATTAATTGCTTTCACATTTGTTTTGTATTAGTTGATAAAACAATTTTGTTCGCCATAAATTTAACAGAAAGCATGTATGAAAGTACAATACTGTATAATTTATTTCAAAAACAATTTTATTCATTAGTTTTTTTTTTATTTATGTCTAATAATATATGAACTACATAATGAAAAATTATAAATATATTCATTAAATTAAAATTAAAAATATAAACAATTTATGCTACCGAATTCCAATCGTACCAGTTAAAGAGTTTAATATATATTATACTCGTATTTGTATATTACATATTTTGTTTCCATTAATCTTTCAGGTCAACTGATTTGTTGATTTTAATTGATTTTTAAAAGTTGTTCTTGATTTAATGATATCAAAATTAAGCATAAGTCATCTTGCTAATCTTGAATAACTTTTTTAATTTCAATTATTTTTTATCAGATACAATAATTGGTCTTTCAGATAGAAAAAAGTTTAAGGCTATATTCAAAATGGTTTTAATATATTTTATACAGCCGTTAACATATTAATTACTTTAACAAAACATCATAATTATTACTATTATCTCTCTTTTGCATATCAGCATATTGTAAGGATAATTACATTCTTACGGAAGTGTTGATACAAAACGTTTAATTTTATGTTAATAATCATATAACCAATAGTTTTTATGTTTAAACAATTCAATATTTGTTATTTACTGTCTTATAATGATAACAAATTAAAACCAAAAATTATTATTTATTGAGGTAAAGTAAATTGAAATTTATTAGGGATTTTTTGCAGTTAACTTATGTAAATATTTTTTTATTTATTTATTGCACTTATTTATTATTTTTATTTTATTTATTATTTTTGGTTAAAAGTTTTCAAATTTATTTATTTATTTATTAAACATTTCATAAAATTTTTACAATGGTAACATCTAATTTACCTAATTTTAATCTAATTTATTCTGCTCGAAATTCTGGTAAATACCAACATTCGCTGCCATACCGACATAATTTACTATTTCCCTCAATATACCATCAATTTACTCGCACTCGCACACGGACTTAATATAAAGATTTAACAAATAAAAAAGGTATTAATTAGTTAAATACAAATTGTATAA